AAAAAAAAAAAAAAAAAAAAAAAATAGTTCATTATAATTTTTTTAGAACTTAGATGATCTTGTCCTTTATTTATTGAAAAAATATATAATAATATTATAATACAAATATAAACTAAACAAAGCTAGCTATATAGATATTCTCTTTATACAATTTTAAACTCACTCAACTACCAGACAATGCCTAAGTATAATCTAACTATAATAGTCAAATTTTTATCTTAACAGAATAGTTTGCTTAAGCAAAGTTATATTTAATTGATTAACAAAAGGTTACTATATGCTATTTTTATCAAGATTACCTAATTCTCTAACCTTCTTCTTCTAGCTTTCTGAGTTGAAGGATTTATATTCTAACTAACTAATAAAAAAAACAAATAACAAGAAAAATAAAAGAAGAAATAACAAAATATGAGAAAAACAACTGCTTAGGAGAGGAACAGAAATCAGCTAATTTCTTAGAAGGGTAGAGGGTTAGAAGTTGAGTCAGGTCAAATATTATATTAATTATAGAATATACTATAATATACAGTCAGGTAGGGAGTGAAGAGTTAGAAGTTTAGTCAGGTCAAATATTATATTAATTATAGAATATACTATAACATACAGTTAGGTGAGGAGTAGGAGGAGGAGCTCTATAGTAAATTGAAATCATCTAATTTCTGTTCCTTCTCTTATATAAAAAAAAAAAAGAAAGTACAAAAAGAAAATAAAAGAAAAAAAAAATGTCAAAAAAAAAGATAATTAAGAAAAATATACTATTATAGCTTATGCTAAAGCATAAAAAATAAAAATTATTTATAGTACTAATATATATACTATAAATTTCAAGTATAACTTCTTATTAGCTATTATTTTATTTACTAAGCAGATCTGTAATAGCTCTATATATATTAATTGACTTGTAAACAATTAAGATATGACTTGCTTAAAATACAAATATAGATCTTTTGTTGGAGATAAACCAGAATTCTAACTTTTTTCAAAATAAAAAAAGCTATAATCATCATATTAGTTTTGTTAGTTAAAGAATAAAAGAAGTTACTTATAAAAACTAGTTATGAAAGGAAAGAGTATTAAAGTATTTGCTTCAGTACAAAATACTATTTGTTGTTTTTTCTTTCTCTTTACTATTTTTTTTCTTTTTTTTTTTTCTTTAAAACACTATAATATAAACTTTTAGCTAAAATAATGGTATTATTATCTACTAGATTTTTTTGTTTCTTATATAAAGTATACTAAGCTATATAACTTATATTTCTATTTAATAACTACTATTTTGCTAGATTTTCTAGAGTTATAAATTATTTTGTATTTAAAAAAAATTTGTTCTATAATAGTAATTACAAAATGTAAAAATTATTCATATGTAATCTTATATATCAAACTAATAAAAATTGCTTAGCAATAGATTTAGCAATCTTAGTATAGTGATTAGGTTGCCAAACTGCTATGCAAGAGATCTGGAGTTCAAATCCTACTATCAATGAATTTGAATAATTACTTAGACCTTTATACTCAACTTACAGCAAACTCTGTCTGTTTCTGGAGTTGTAACCCTGTAAATCACATTTACTAATATTATCTAGATATTGGAAGTGTAACAAGGTATTTGGTAAGATATAATGTTATATGAATAAATCTTGATAAAATCTATGAGCAGAAGAGAAATCCTGAGTTAGTGAAGTAGTATAGCTTTCAACAGTTATACTAGCTAACACTTAATCTAGAAAAGAACTATTATCAAAAGATGCAGATCAAGTCAGATACATATAAATCCATTCTACAGAGAGAATTAGTAACACCAACTTGTCTTAGTAGCTAACTGGATTAGAAGGATCTACCTTATGAAATATCTGAAATTATAGAATACAGAAAACTAGTAGAGAGCTATAGTAGGAACTGGGATTGTACAAATATCTACAAGGGTCTAAGCTAGATAAATCTGTAAAATGAGTACAGACTACTCTAGTAGATATGCTTCAAGGTTAACTAGCTTTGTGATACCTACAATATATTAGGTACAATATATCTTGAGAGGATCTAAACTGTTCTGAATAAATAGATCCGTAATGAGCTAGCTAGCTTAAGCAGTTAGGTGTTGTAGTGACATTAAGTTAAATCTGTATGGATTAATGAACAGAGTGTTTAAATAGGTAACTTACAGATGAGTTACAGATATGGTAGCATAGTGTAGAACCAATTAGGTAGTCTAATCACCTGTGTGGCAGACTACTTAAATTAAATAATAACTAAAGTTGTATGTGTAGCTTGTTATACACTCTTAATGTAATTACAAACAGTAGAGACTATCAATGTATATCCTGTATGTAATTCTAATAAAATTTCTTCAGCAATGTAAGCCGTCTTAATAACAAAAAAAAAAAAAAATTGCTCAGCAATGTAAACTACCTTAATAATAAAAAAAAAATTAAATAAAATTTATATTATTTTATAAAGAATAATTTCTTATATAATATATTAAAATTTCATTAAGTTTAAACTAATAGTTATAAAATATTTATATTGAAATACAGGCACTTACCAAATTTATCAAAACCCTAAAAGTAAAGTTAAATAACTTGCAAATTATACAATTATATAATCTAAAAATAGTATAACATAATTATCAAAAAATGTAGATTAATATAATCAAATCAAGAACATAATTAGTAAGTTTTTGAGTTATAAGCCAAGTCCTTAAGTGTGGAAATATTTTTGTCACCCCCCTGCATGTATCATTCAAGAGAAAAAGAAAATTTACAAATTTCTATGTTCGAACTTTCAAATTTAATATAATCTGTAACTTTTGTTTTATACTGATGATTTTAGTATACAATATCTCTACTAATTAATACAGTACTCAATTAGTTAATTCAAGTATTTATAAAATACCGATACTATTCTTAGATTTGATTTGGTTAAAGGTATAGGTAATCTCATTATAATTTGCTCTAAGTTATCATAATGATAAGATTATCGATTTTTTATTATGCAAATCAATTTCCATAAAATGTAGGTACGTACTGAAATTTATCTAACAGCTAATTTAGTAAAAACTCGATTTTAACTCTAAGGCAGTTTTCGCAAAGACTCTATATTAAATTTAGAAGTGACAAAAATTTTGGGGCATTCTTCAGGTCAGCGGATACGTGTTGACTAATCGAGATTAATAATAAGCTTAAATGTGAACAATTTTTATCGACCAACCACCAAATTTAATGCAATTATGATTTTTTTTTTACCTAAAATTCAAACGATTGGTTAGTTGAGTTGACAAATTACTAAAAGCAACTTTCAATCAGTATCACGAGTCTAGCTTATGTGAGAATTACAAATACGTATAAAATTTTTTTTTTAAAAAAAAAAATTAGAGATCGAAAATTTTTACGGGTTATTAGATATTCTCCGTAGTTAGTCTTAAAAAACGGCGGTAATAAAAAAAAAAAAAGAAAACGAACAATTTAATTTTTTATTGTAACGGTAAAAGTTATAAAAAAGCAACCGGGCGTATAGCTGTGTAACGTACGATTATCATTATCGTTATATAATTTTGGCTAATTTTGGCTAATTCAATTTGCACTGCCGTACCGTTTTGCATTCTTGTGTATAGATGAAAGAAACAAAGTTTATTGAACGTAGGTACGTACGTACATACGCCAGATTACTCAGGTATTCGTGTTATTAAAAAGGAGATATGACAAAGACACGTAAATATTTTCGTTATATTTATTTCGCGCCTGCTACCCCACATTTCATTATTGTTTGCGCATCATTTTTTAGATAAGAACTATAGACTACATACGTGCGTACGTAGGAACATTAAGAGTACATATGTAAGTGTGTAGGTTGTTAGTTAAATTATACGCAGAGCCCAAGCCGAGCGAGCAAGATATAGGACAGTGGTATTAGAAAATGTATCCAATAGATAGATTATTAAACAAGGAAATGATAGCGAGTTAATTAGAGATTATTGGTTACAGTATAAAAATATTTCCGATATTTGAGGTACGACATGTGGCAACCTGCTTGGGTACACTCACTATCTGATTCGTGAGAAAGTGGCTGTCTTATGATACAATAGTAGTTAGAATTTCGGTATTATACGTTAGATCAAATTAAATATTTATTAATTAATATGACATTCAAAGGAGCCAGACTCGTATTGTCTGAGTTATTTTTTGGAGCACGAATAGTTGTTGGTTTTTATATTTTTTTTTTCACTGGGAGAGTTAGCGTGGCTTATTTTAGTGTATCTGGAGAATGATTACACATCTTTTTTGATCGATTAACTTGCGAGATTCGTCGCATGTGAACCACTGTTACATTTTTAGGAAAAAAATAGTTGTGAAAATGTTTATAGCAATAATGCACATCAAGTTTATATTAATAAAGAACCTTGAAAGTTTGCATGTTTTTTGTACAGTAAGGAATTAAGTACTCGCGATTTTATAGAGTATACATCATTAATAACTATTCATTATTGTGCAACCATTCGAGTTATAAACATGAAATTCCTGATTTTCATTTAATAATGTGTCAACAATTCCGAATGAATAGATAAAAGAAATTTTGACATGAACGCTAACAGACCGTTGAAATCTAATTTGCTTACATAATAAGCACAAAATTTATGTAAAATAGGTATGAAACAATGTATATTTTCAAATAGAAAATTTTCAAGATTTCAAATGTTAAGCCCTTTTTGTGCAATCGAATGATTTATCCTGCATTTATTCTACATGCGCCGCTGTATACGCATAAACCAAATTAGCAATATGAGTAGTTTTGTGAACGGCTAGTTATGGCAACTATCTAAATATTATGGCTTCTAAATTTGTTAGTATACTCTGTCATTGTTCACCGATCATTGTAATATTTTATGAAGCATAAAAAAAAAAAAAAAAAAAAGAAGATAAATACCTCTGTAAGTTGCATTCTTTTATTTAGTGCGATAAAAACTCAACTCGTCCAAAACAAATCCGATAAATCATTTAATGAAAATGAAGCAAGAAATCAACCCATCAAATATGAAATCGTCATCACGTTCGTGTATATTTATTGCTAGCAATCCGAATTCACCGAATCAAATTGTGAATCTTAATTCGCAACCTTTCATTAAACCTGCCTTTCCACCCGTGGTAAATGTTCGTGAATTAATGACTAAACAATCCTCTGGGCGTTCATCAGTTCGTGGACCAAATGCATTTATTATTTATCGTAAAGTCTTTTTTGAGACTGCCCGAGATGATGGTTATCAATTACCTATGACCATTGTCTCATCTATGGCTTCTCAATCCTGGGAGCAAGAGCCCGAAATTGTTAAAGAATCATATAGGGAACTTGCTAAAGAAGCCAATAAAATTCGTAACGAAATTTCACCAAAATTACCTCGACGTAAAAAGAGAGAACAATGGAATATTGTCTCTTTCCAACAAAAGAGTAAATCTTCTCTTAAATCTTCAGGAACACAAAAACCTCAAATTACACCTTGTCCAATTACTCCAATTACACCACCGATGTCTCCATTAGAATCAAGCCCAATACTTCCGGAAATTTCCTTTGATAATACATACCCTATTTCTTCAGACAATAGTTTTCCCAGCCTTGACACACCACTTAAAATGGGAACAGAATATATTCCAACTAATAGTTTTGATGACATTGTCAGCTCATCAATATTGCAACAATTAGAGGACTATAAATGCGCAACTTTCGGATGCAATGACTATGATTCTATTGATACAGATCAACGATCATTTACAGATTCGCCTTCAAATTTCTCATGGAGAGATTTAACAAACGATTCTTTAATCCCAGCCGAAGATGTGGAAATATTTACCAAAAACGAATCGGCTTTAAACACGACTTTAAATTCGCATGATGATGGCCTTGGGATCTCTGATTACTCGAATTTTGCCACTAACGCTAATGAATATATTTTTATGAATTCTGATCAATCATCTTGTTTATTGATTCCAATTATGGATATCGCGGATGATCCAGGAATTACTTTTTCATCGGACGGGTTGAGTTATGATGGTTCTTTCAAATTTTAAACATATAAAATGCTTTATGGCGTCCCGAGAGTATGTATATCTGCGGGTTAAAAATTAATAAAAAATTTTAAACATCGATTCCGTTTTCCTATTGTAGCCTATTACTCCTACTTTCATATATTTACGCAATTATAAATATATATATATCATACATACATAATACATATATATCATATCATAATATTATTTTTCTCGTATTTTATCTATATTCTTTCGTTAACATTATGCAAGTACAATAGTAACACACGTGCATAGTACTTTTATGGAAGGAATATGAAATATTATAAGATTTGCGAATTTAGAAAAGAGTTGATTATGCCAAAGTTTTTTTTTATACGTAGAATATTGTTTGTTACATATATATGCATAGGTTATGGACTATTTATGAATTCTAAAGTTTAAAAACATACCGCTACTATATTAAGGAAGTTTTTTTTTTAAAAAAAACATATTTTTTTATTACGAAGTTTAGATACTTATTTATGTAAATTTATAATTACTTACTTGTATGTACTATTGTATATATTTTTTTTCATTTATTTTTTTTAACATCTAAAATTTATATATAAATAGATATACCTGATACTGTATAATTAAAATTCATTATTATTTTGGATAGAAACAAATTAAATCGTAACTTTAAAGAAGTGTTTGTTTATATCAATGAAAACAAAAAAATTGTAACCAAATTTTCTTCTTATAACTACTGTAGTTAACTCTCAATATTTTTTTTTTTTTTTTATTAATTATCCCAAAAAATGTACATAAGTAAATATAAAACTTTACATTTTTTGGGGGTAAACCGTTATTTACAAGACACTTCAATTATGCATATGCTTCAATTTTTTTTGTCTTATGTTAGATTAAATTTATATAACATTATAGATTTAAAACTTTTCGAAAATTATGTAAATATATATATATATATATATATATCTTATATTATATGACTAAAATATTATAAGAAATAGTAAAATACTCTCGATTTACTCACTTTTTGGATTTTCGGTTTTTTTCTTCTAATTACGTTCGGAATTTAATAAAATTTTCAAAACAATTAGTTGTAAACTTAATTGCCAACTAGTGTTATGCTTTTAGTTTGGGTAAGAGGCTATGTGATAACAAGAAGCCTCTAGCAAGTCAGATCTCTTAAGATATAAAATTTATAAAAGCACAGGCCGTCTCAATTCGTAACTAGAGGCGAATTAAGAAGAACTTTCATCCTTCATTATAAAGTACTGTATCATAAACAATGAATTGATTCTCAACCATCATTGATACTCACATCCCTTTTAGTTAATGAAATGCTATCGTACCCAAGTTGCGACTGGAGCTAAATCACGCATACATTGAAACTGATAGTTACATGTTTTTAATAAATTTTCATTAGTCCAAATTAAAAATACTGAATAAGTTGGCATTTAACATGTTCTATTGGGAAAATTTACCAATAGGAAATAGAACAATAGATTAGAATTTAGATCTATTGGACCAATAGAAAAATTTTGACAACACTGAATATAACATATGGGGTCTTTGCCTTGAGAGTTACGTTTGGATCATATGTCCCGTAAGATAAAGATCCCATATAGCTAAAAGAACATATGGACGTATTACATCTAACCCATTTCTGTGGCTTAATGAGTATTTGGATTAGTTTCGGTTCTCAATTTGCGAAGCTGAAAAGAATTTTTAATCTAATATCGATCTCTTGGAATACCTAAGCTTGTAAGAATACTGCGATTATAATATCATAGTCGGTTTGTGAAATAAATAAAAAAATGCAATTGCTTTGAAAGATATTCGTAATTAATTTTATTTCCGTAACTGGTAATTGTTTTTTTAGAATTCAAAATCAACTTAATTGATGATTCGCGATAGAAAGAGAATATTTTATATATTTTATTAATAAAAAGTGGGGTATATTTATTATAAAGATTTTAAATCAGCATTCCTAATATATACTGTACAACTTTTTTTCTATCATGCAAAGATCTCTTGAAGCTCTAATAAAAGTTGTAGAGACAGATTTTCTGATTTTAATTATGGTTAAATAATCCAATTCGGTTTAGTAGATTATGAGATATAGTTATTTTTATCTTCGCGACCATATAAAATTTCTTTACTGATTAGTAAAGAAATTTTATATAGTCGCGAAGATAAAGATAACTATATCTCATGATCTACCAACCCGATTTTGATGATTTAACTAGCATTAGAATAAGAAAGCCTGTCTCTACAACTTTTATTAGAGCTTTAAGAGATCTTTGCCTGATAGAAAAAAAGTTAAATATATCAGGAATGCTGATTTCAATCTTTATAATAAATCATCCCACTTTTTATTAATAAAATATTCTTCTACTATCATGAATTGTCTATTAAGTTGATTCCGAATCCACAGATATTCCGTATCCACCTACAACATATATATATAAATTATTAGGTTTAAAATTGTTATGTAAAAAATTTTTAGCTTATGATACAGTATCATTCTATATAAAAAGATCAACAATTAAATTGATTCCAAATTAGGGTGCGGAATGGGCCAACCCGATATAAAAAAAAGCCTGATAGTACGCGCCGGGTCGGGTTTTATTTTAAGATAAAAATCACAAGCGCTCACCCTCGATGGATCTGAGGTAAATTTTAATTAGTTAGAATTCGAATAAACTAAGGCCGTTTGAATTTAAAAGTTCGTTTAACGTTCCCCCAAAATTAAACAATAATCAGAGCAGCCAATAGAAAACGAGTATAAAAATAAATCAAAAAACCGGGTATAAATGAACCAAATCAGGTACAATCTAATTTGGGTTTAATTTTAGTGTTTGTTTAATTCTCCCCCACCCTCAATTTAAAAAGGAACGTTAAACGAATCTTTAAATTCAAACGGCCTAACCAAGAGAATGATCAACTCGATAAATAAATATGGAAGTGCAGACTATCTTTTTTTAATTTTAACAACTATAAAAAAATCTGCAATTCGCACAATGAATTTTCAGAATAACCACTTCAATTAATACAATGATTAAGCAACATCTCGATCACTTTTAAATCACGTTGAGGAAGTTGCTTGAGAACACTTATTATATACTTCCAAAATTATGATCAAAATAAAGCTTCAACAATTTATTTAATTTGATTTCGAAGTTTTAAATTTTAATAAAAGATAAAACTACTAAATCTAAGCCATATTATATTGGTATGTTAAGAGCCTGCTTGACTAAACTACGTGAAACACCTACAGAACTAACATGCAAAATTTTTATGGTTGGGTGATAACAAATGTTTATTCATTATCCAAAAATCATTTCATTCGCTAGATTTATTAATCGGTGAAATCATTCAAATACTTATTTACCCATTACCTAATACCTTCCAAATTATTTCGCTTAGTAAGTGAATATGATGATTGATAGAATTAAAATCAACATTGTTCACAAATCATGAAATAAATACTCTTCAAATCAATTTATTTGCTTTAATTTCGTCGGTGATAATTTACTAATGAATTTTTTACAAGGCTCAGACCAGGTCCGATATTTAGTGGGTCCAACCCAAGTCCGACCCAAAAGATAATGGGTTCGAAAATGGGTCATGGACTAGGAAAACCTACTTCCGAAGGGGGGTTTCCATTTTGAGAAAATGACGATTAATTGTTTGTGTTACCTAAATTTTACCCTGAATTTTTTGTTTATTTTTAGATATCAATTACTGAATAAACAATGTCATGTGATTATGAAACACTGATTGACCAATCTAATTTAATTGAGTCGTAAATCTTTGGTTGTAGATCTATTTTTAGAACACGAACGTTAAAAAATTGATTTACATTCAAGCAATAAATTATTATATTAACGTAGGGTAAAAAGTGAAATACATATAGATATAAACTGGAACTTTAATTTGAACCGAAAATCTTGAAATTGATAAAAAAGTGTCGGAGATAGG